AGGGAAAGCAGTAGCAACAGAACCAGGAGAAAATAAAAAGTGCGAATATTGTGGAGCTGTGTGCTCTAGCAGCTAGTACAGAGGCAGAAGTCCTGAGCTCTTCCCCAGCGCTGGAAGGGAGCATATTGTGCAGGTGGCATGAGTGCCACAAGTGGCACAGGCAGCCATGGTAGCAGATAGGGCAAGAAATAGGCAGCAGAGCAGCAGATGAGGCAGGGAGCAGAAAGCAGGGAGCAGAAAGCAGAACATCAGATTGGGCAGGGGAAGCAGATCAGATGTCACTCGGGGAGGGTGCAGGACTAATTTGTGACGTGCCTGTCAAAAAAAATTTACCCCTACTGACCTAAACTGACCTAAAAGATACATCAGCACTTCTGGGGTCTTCTCCCAGCTCTGCAACAGAGCACGGTCTAGGGCAGTGGTTCTCAACATTTTTAGACTCTAAATACCCCACACTAGACTCAAGACACTCCCAGAAAATGCCAGCTCTTTGTTTTCACTCATTTTTTTGATCACAGAAAAAATACTGGAGCAATTCAGCTGTTGCAAAGAACTCAGAAAGCCCATAGCAGGCAGAGTGCTTTTGACATTGTGGATTCCTATTGGAAATCTCTGGGGTTAGCTCGTAAGTCCTGTGGAGGCTTTTGCCCACCCCTCAGTGCTAATATTGTGAGGCACACTTAGAAGGATCTAACAGCACCACAGCATGCCTTGGGGCCCAGGTTGAGAATCACTAGTCTAGAGGCTTCAGGACTCCTGGTTTTTATGCCTGGCCCTGCCACAGCTTGCACACTAGTAAGTGTGTAGTAAGTCATCTGTAGGAGGGCAGGGGGAGCTCCAGTGAATGAGACAAGCACCTTGAGGTCTTTATGCACATTGCATGTGGCTCTTCCAGAGTTTTCCCCGCCCCAGCACTTCGCCCATGTCAAACCCCCACAGCCTCTGCAGGAAGGAGCTGGGTCACGGACCCCCAGCAAGGAGATGGGGCCACAGAGCAGTAAAGTGGCTGAGCTTAAGTCACGCAGGCCAGCGCCTGCTAGGGCCATAACTTAGGGCCATAACTAGAGAACCCAGAGTCCTGACTCTCAAGCCTGGTAGTTCGGAGCTGACTCAAAACTACACTGCCATACCCCCAGTTTGCCACCAGAGGGGGCTGAAAGCATCTGCCCCCGCACCAAACTTCCCCAAGCAGAGCAAGGGTGGGAGGCGATAAAAAACCGAGGTTACAGCAGGATTTATTCTCATTCCTGGCTGGGGAGACTCAGAGGAAGGGACTGACTGCACTGATCAGACAAAGGCCGAAGGATCTTTAGGGCAGGGCTGGGTGTGGGCCATGACAGGGGGGCCTTGGGCGCTAGGAATAATAGAGAGGGCAAAGGGAAACAGGCACAGAGGGGAAGGGGCTTGCCCACCAACATGACCAGAGCTGGGGTAGAACCCAAACCCTCTAACTTGGGGGCTGTGCACAGGACCCTGCAGCCTCTCCAGTCTTCTTAGCAATTCTCCCTTCAAAAAAGGGCATTTCCAAGAGGCAGCAGCCCTGGCATCATGACCCCATCCCAGCCCCCTTCCCTCCAATTCTGCTGCAGTGGGACATGAGTACAAGACTGGGCCTTGTCCCCACTGCCCCGGCCCGATCCCCACTGCAAAGCTCTGGCTGCACTATTGAAAACAGAGTGAAAGGCAGGGCACTGGAGTTCTGTCCTGGGGGCAGCGTAGCCCCAGCCAGGGCATGGCTTTGGGATATGGCCCAGCCCCCTCCTGCAGCCCCTGGCTGCTCCTTCCTGCCTTCCCTCCCACCACCAGTGGAGTTTGTGACCTTCCTAGGGAAGGTTCAGGTTTCCTTCAGTGGCTCTTTTAACCTTGAGGCTTTCTCCTTCCCTGTCTGGTTCTGCCTGCTCTATAGGGGCAGGGAGAAGGGGAAGTCTCCCATAGCCAGTTGCTCTTTGCCACCCACCTCCAGAGCTCTCAGACACTGCCACACCCAGAGTGTCTGGGCTCAGCCCCATCAGGGCAGAGATAAAGCAAGCTTCCAGACTGGGTCCTGTCTGGCACCTGCCACTTGACACACCCTTGCCACCATGTCCTGAGCCAGCCAGAGAGTAGCTTCTTCAAGGGACCCAGGCTGTCACCAGGTCATGCTTTGGCATCATGGGCTGTTGTGCACCCCTGGGACCCTTCTGTGCAGCCCCTAGGACTCTGGTAAGCAGTCATACCAGCAACATGCATCTTCCTCCCTTCCCCTGATAGCTCCTTCAGGTCCAGAGGGAAGGAAGCGGTGGGATCCTCTCTAACATGCCAAGATCCCCCCAGGCCACCCCTTCTGGGAGGGCGCCTTGGCCCTGGAAGATAGTAGAGGAGGGCTGTTAGCAGCCCTGGGACAGGGAAGTGCCTCCCTCCAGGGCATGCTACATTGCCAGATGTTCCCTCTCCAACAAGGAAAAGCCAAAGACAAAGGATCTCAGCTTCTCAAGTCAGCCCCAGGGTACATGCCGCACTGGGGGAGGAGAATGGTCTGAACTCCAGATCAGGGCAGCCTGTGTACGGCCAAGGGGCTGGAGGGTACCAGCAATGCAGGATGCCTAGAAACAGACTCAGTCAGTGTCCATGGCGGGGTCACCATGACTGTGTAGAGGAGGGACTGACTGGCAGTCAGGCGAGGCTGTGCCATGATTCCTGACCCTGCCAGAGCCACCAAGCTGCTGCTCGTGCCTGTTGTGGAAGAATCTCCTCAGTCAGAGGCAGAGACAAGTGTGCCAAGACTCAGTATGTGGAGGGCTCAGTCTGGATGGGGCTGTGTGGAGCTGGTGAGGGGCACTGGGGCTTCTGTGTTGCTGGCAGTGGGGGAAGAAGGCTGTGTCAAGTATGTTAGGCCCCATCCCAAGTACTGAGAAGCCTCAGAGGCATAACAAAGCAGCTGGGCACCCTGGGCAGTGAGACACATGGGGGCAGTAAGGACTTCTGGCTGCCACCCTGCAATTGTGCAGCTGATATTTTTCTGCGCTCGTACCCCACTTCCAATTCAGCACCCGGGGCAGGTGCCTCGTCATCGCATCCTAAATTACGTTACTCTGTGGCCCCCTGATTCACAGTCCATTTGGACATCTGGCCCAGCAGGGGCCTCTTGGAGAACTTCACTGCATGTGAACCTGGGACATGGCTCATCCCCCCGTCCACTTGGTAAACAGCCCCAGGAGCCAGGGACAGGAGCCAGAGCCTCGACTCAGAGCAGAAGGGACCATCAGAGGGAAGACTTAGGGTCCCATGGAAGCTCTGAGGTGGTTTTTAGGTTCATGAAGAAGAGGAAGGGGACATGAATTATCCCTGACCAAGGGGTTCCCCAGCTCCCTCACCAGTTGCCCTGGGGGGTGGGTCAAGACCCCTGAAAGAAGTGGAGATGTACAATGGAGGATGTAGATGCCACACTACGTCATGTGAGACGGGTGTGGAAGGGCATCGCCCACACCACACACACCAGGGCCATGCTGTGGGAAAGTGCACTCCACAGACCTTGCCGTCTGCTCTTCACCCCATGCCAGCCTCGCTTCTCTCCTGACACCTCACAATCAAGTCCCAGCACCCTCCCCCTGCCCACCCAGCAGGGCCTACACCCCAGATGAAAGGCGAGGGAACCTTTATGGCTGTTATTCTGCAAAGCCCTTAATTGTAATCTTATTCCTTACTGGTAAATCTGGAAATTGGCTGTGAGATCTGAGCAAGTCAGGATCCAGACATCTCCCAAAGACATCCAGAAACTTCCAGGAAAAGAAGCATAATCCCACCCCACCCCATTGGAGAGATTAACCCCTTAGCTACCAGCCTCAAGCCCCTACCCTTCCTGTGCTGCACCCAGGAACTTCCCAGCCCAAAGGAATGGCTACACACATAAGCACTGGCAGGGATCTCCATTCCTGTAGTGTTTCTCATCCCAAAAGAATCCCAAACGGACTTGCTCTTATGCCAGAAATACCATCTCCCTCTGAAATGCAGCTGCCTCTGGGGTTGAATGTGTCTGAACAGCCCACAGCAACACTGCACAATATATTTTAGGACAGCGGGTGAAGAAGGATATGCAACTGTAGGGGCAGTTTAAAAGGAGGAATGGCACTTTCCATACAGAGATTTGACCAGGTTGCCAAAATCAATGCCCTGGACTCTTGCCAAGTGTCATGAGATAGTTAGTGACCATGATTTGTCTGGATCCTGGATTAACCTCTTCTGGGAAAAAACAGGCTAAGAAAGTCAGCAAACCAAAGGGAACACAGCCTTAAGAGAACAGCCAGTTGCCTGCCTTGTGGATCAGATCATCTATCTCTGCAGAGGGTAAGCTACCTCTTCTCCAGCTGTTACTCTGTCTTCCCGGCTCCCTCCTGCCCCACATCGCATCCAGCTGTTTGGATGCGAAGCTCTTTGGGGTAGAGGCTGTTTGCATAGTACCCCACCCAGTTATCAGAGTAGTTCCTGCTCATGCTTTCAGTTGCTTTCTGTCTTCTTAGCAGCCCTTCTGGGTTTGGTAGTCAGTGTGACTTCCATGAGCCTGTGCTACAGGGGTTCAGGTCCAGATGGGGCCCTTCACCACTGCAGGCTTACTAGTTCTTTTGGCATACCCCTGGTGCCAGCTCAGGAAAGTCTCTGCAGAGACCCAAGGGGGAGGACCTATGGGGTATCTTGGTCTATATTGGCAAAAGAGTCAAGGTTTTCTGGGTGCATTGTTCAGGATAGAAGGGGTTAAAAGGCTACATTGGACCCTGCTGGGAGGCAGGTGCACAGCAGGGGAGGTGTCAAGTGGGAAACACTGGAAAGTTTCCAAGGGTGCCTGGAAACTATCCCTCCCGCCTGCCCTCCAGTAATTACAAGCCAGGGGGGGCTGTGGCCATCCAAACAACCTGGGATCCATGCCGACAGTCCCCATGGGAACCAACTCCGGCCTCATCAAGCCCCGTCATGCCTGGCCAGCTCTGGGACTGTACAGCGCCCCAGGCAGACCCAACTCAGGGGAGGACTGTGATGTGGCATTTATACTCAAAGATCATTGTCCCCATTCTACAAAGGAGGGAAACTGAAGCATTGAAACTGGAGAGGTCACTCACCCAAGGTCAGTGATAGAGGGACCCAGGAGTTATGGCACCCTACCCCACTACACTAGTCGCTATGCCCCTCGCCTTCCCAGAGCCAGAGAGAGAATCCAGGAATCCTGGCTCCCAGCATCACTGATTCACTATATATCCAACCCTTTCTGGGACCAGCACAACAAGCCACATGTCAGGCACACTTACATGGGAGCCGCCTTCACGCTGTGGGCCTTGCCCCGCTGTGGGGCTGCTGAGGATGGGCGAGTTGGAGGGACTGCAGAGCTCGGGGAAGGGGTTGGGGATGGATGGAAGTGATGAGGCTCGCGGCTCCTCCTCCTTTAACTTCCTGCAAAGAGAAGGGACACAGAGGAGCAGGGGTGAGCATGCAGGTGGCCACATAGTCTTTTGTGTAAGACACATGAGCCATGCCAAGGTCACATGAACCACACAGGCTGCACATAAGGGGCATGTGAACCACACCAGCCACATGAGCCACAACTAAGAGGCATCAAAGCAAGAATGAAATTATGTGAACCCCCTACGGTGCTTCCCAGGAGACAGCTCCATGAACCAGGCTGAGCTCATGTGAAACACGTCAGAAGCCTATGGCACATGGTAAGATCATGTGAGCCATATAAGCGAAAAATGCAAGATACGCGAGAGTCACATACATTCCAAACGTGGAGAAAAGGGCACGAATTCACTGCTCTCCGGGAGAGATTTTGTTTTCCTGGTTAAGTGGATAAAACCATAATCCCCTCTCCAGTTTCTGTGTGTCTGGGCAGGAGGAGGGCATTGCTCAGCCCCACCACAGAGGACTGCTGATTCCTAGCCTGGATACATGACATGGTCACGTACTCTAGCACAGCCCTGTGCAAACCTGCCATTCCTGATCCATTCAACTCTTTCTCCATACTTTGCAAAGAGGGAGCAACACATGCAAAGAACAGAGAATTGGGCCCCAGACACCCAGCACAGGGGTGGCTGGTGCCTCCTGAGTCTGGGGGGTCACAATTTGGGGGTGGGTCTGGGGGCGGGCCAAAAGCCCCATACCCGCTCCTATACTTCTGTGCCGCATCTTAGTGCCCCCGCCGCCCCCCTACTCCCCCAACACGCTGCCGGTCCACACGGCAAAAAAACTGCCCTGTCCTGAGCAGTGCTGAGTCAGGGGCCAATCTCAGGGGGGCACGTGCCCCCCCCCCCCCCCCCCCATGTCCCCCACATCAATCACCTACCAGTCTCAGATCCCCCCTCAGAGACCCAGGGAGGGGCAGACACAGGTGGCTGTGTCAATAAAAATCACAATAAAGTCATCAGCCCCTGGGAGGGTGAGGGGGAAGGCTTCTTTCCGCTCTTGTGGGAAGAGCCCAGACTACGCTCTGCTGGGGGAGTGAGGCCTGGAGCACTGACCCCCAAGGGCAGGCAGAGAGTTAATGATTAGCTCTAACCCTCTGCCTTTCCCTAATGCTGTTTGTCTGTGCTCTCAGGCAAGGAAGCAGCCTTAAAAGGGGCAGCAGCTCTACCATGTCCTGCATGTAGAAAGCGCTAACCCGGCTGGGCTACAAGGGCTGCTCACTGGCTGCTCTAATGTACTGGACTGTTACACTGCATCCAGATCAAGGGATAGACCCCAGGGGTCCTAGCTCCCAGACCCACAGTTTTAACCCACCAGATCCCACTTGCCTCCCACTGCTGGCAGGGGGAGGCAGGAAAAACCCAGGAGTCCTGACTTGCAGTGCTCTAATGCATCCATCCTCTTCCAAGATCATGTGGTTCACGGGAATAATGGCTGGAGAGGGCACCCCAGCTCTATAAGAGGGTGTTGACACACCTACCGCCCCTGCCCAGGAGCAGAGAAGAAGCCAGACATGGAGATGGGCTACCAGTTATAGAAGGGAGGGCTGAAGTTTTCCACAAGGCCTTGCTTCTACCTCACCCACCTGTTCATGTGGATGAGCAGTGGCTGTGAACGCTTCATGTCACTGCCAGCCAGCACATCAGCCTTGTCGCCCCGCTCATTGAGAGGGAAGGCATTGCCATTGGGCAGGCTCCTGGCTCTCTCCTGCTCCAGGCTGCCCTGGTAGAGGTTGTCCAGGGTAGTGTTCACATTGTTCTGTAGAGCGCCCAGGTCCATGTCATTATCTGCAGGAAGATGGCACAAGACACCAATGGTTATTCCTACCTCCACAGCATCCTTCAAACTATCCACACCCACCACTGAGAGCTCTGGACCCACGTGCACCCCCGCCCCCCCAGGTGCCAGCTGAGCCAGTCACAGCATCTGAGGAGTGGGCTTGCTTTGAAATCCCCTCCTCCTCCCATCGCTCACAGAAGAGGCCTGGCTACTGTGCCTTGTGCCTCTACTGCCTTTCAATCTCCTCTCATTATGTGAACTGCCCTGTGGTGGAAATAGACCCAACTGGTCAATGAAGCCTACACACCAGGGATGAGAAAGAGACTATTTGCCTTGCAACACCAGAAGAGCTGCGCTCAGGGTCTAGGCAGGGAGAGGACACCAGGAGTATACATACTGTAGCAGAACCAGGGAGGTTCCCTCTTCAAACCCCCAACCCAAAGAGACATACCCCCCTGAGACATGGACAGTTGGGGAGTAGGAGACCAGGATATAGCAGTGGGCAAGGCAGCCATTGACACCCCCATATCCAACTTGACACATCCTTGGCTCTACAAGCTGCTGCTTATGGACAGCAAATTATTCCAGAGTCACTCCAGAGTGACCCTGTTGACATCAGTGGGGTTACTCTAAATTTTTATCTTAGCATAGCCACGAGCAGAGTCCTTCCAAGCAGAAATTCCTACTGAGATGAAGTCCATGCCTTTGTGACCTTCTGCCCCTCAACTGGGCTGCTGGCTCATCCCAGGGCAGGATGATATCATCCATCAACTTCTGTGGAGACTCTTTCCGTGGACTCATCCCGGCTCTGGGAAGGGGCCTGACTCCTTCAACCTGTAGTGGCAACAATTTCCTTGGACACGCCAAAGCTTCACTCCTGGAATGAGGTCAGATGGCTCAGGTGTCACCTCTGGGTCATTTGCTGGAAGCTCATGCTTCATGCCCCGCAGTCCTTCTGTCTGCCAACCTGCTGGCAAGCAGCCTGAAGCAGGCAAATCAAAGGACTTTGTCTCTGTCTGTTCCCACCTGGGCAAGGACCAAGGAGGCAATGGAGACAAAGCTGCTCCTGCAATACGACCCCCTGCTGAGTGACCCAGGCAGTTTGGTTTCTGCAAGAACCATACGGAGCTGTCAACGCTGGTGCCCACAGGACCAAGGGGCTGGAACACAAGCCGTTGAGCAACAGCGGCTCCTGCGCACATTTAACCATGTCTACACATGTCAGTTAGCTCCAGTTCCCATGTGTTCACACTCCCATGCACCCATTTCATGCATGTCCTAGTCACTCAGGCATGGGGATTCTGTCCATTTGCACTAGCAGCAAACAGATGTGTGTACGTGTGTGTCCATGCATGTGAATCCACTTAGTGCACGTAGTTTCTCTGGGCTCCAGGGATCTTAGTCTGCCTCTTCCCATCAGTGCTGAACGTGGTTCGCCCCAGAGAGGTTTGTGGAGATGTATCATGTCACTTGGGACTTCTGGAAGCTGACTGCTGTCCCTGAGTGTGGGCAATGACCTTTTCCCCAAGCTCACTCCATGTTTGACTTCTCTGGCAGCAAGACCAGCATGAGTGTAGCTCAGCATGGATGCCAATCTCCCTGGCCAGTGTAAATCACTGACTCAGGCAGCTGGCTGGGCCAGAAACTGTGGCATCAGGAAGTGCCCATCTGAGTGCACCTTTGATGGCAACCAATCTGCAAAGCATCAGAAGGATGAACCACAGAGCCAGAATCAGAGTCAGGGGCCCTGGCATGTAGTCCCTTGGCAACAATCTGTGTCTTTTCCTGATACCTTCTGGGTTCCATGGGGTGCCAGATCACAAACCTACCCTTAGCACATTGCTGGGTGCATTATTTTCCCCTGTACCACAACAAAGTGATGAATCAGTGTGTGGGCAGGTGACTCAGCACCACCCCACCCTCCTCCTTGCAAGCCTCAGCAGCAAACTCCAGCCCTCACATACCTTTGCTCTGTTGTTTCCAAATGGCCTGGCTAGAGGCCGCTCAGGCCCAGCAGAGGAGACTCATGGTATTAGGAAATGGGGCAGTGTAACACCTTCCTACATACTGCAGTCCTTTCCATTTCACCTTAGAGGGCTTTGTTGGGAGCAGGGCAGGTATGATTCACCCATGCCACAGCAGAGAAGCTGCTCTGGAGTGAACCCTGCCCTGCCTGCCAGCTCTGGGCCCAGGACCTTTGCCCAGCCTCAGACACAGAAGCAGGCGCAATGGCAGAGAGATACTGTCTCATTGATCACTTTCTACATTCACCTGTCTCACTGTTTTTAATGTTGCAGATGACACCAAGCTGGGGGAGTAGTAGATATGCTGGAGGGTAGGACTAGGATTCAGAGAGACCTAGAGAAATTGAACTGGAACAAAAAAATCTCAATAAGGACAAGTGCAAATTCCTGCACTTAGGACAAAGCAATCCCATGCACCAATACAGGCTGGGGACTGACTGGCTAGGCAGCAGTTCTGCAGAAAAGGACCTGAGGGTTACGTTGGACAATAAACTGAATATGAGCCAACAGTGAGCCCTTGTTCTGAAGAAGGCTAATGGCATACTGGGATGCATTGGTAGGTGTGTTGCCAGCAGATCAAGGGGAGTGATTATTTCCCTCCATTGAGCATTGATGAGGCCATATCTAGAGTATTATGTCCAGTTTTGAGCCCCCCCACTATGGAACGGATGTGCACAAATTGGAGAAAGTCAGTGGAGGGAAACAAAGATGGCTAGGAGGCTGGGGCACGACTTATGCGAACAGACTGAGGGAACTGAGCTTACTTAGTCTAGAGAAGAGAAGATTGACAGGGGATTTATTAGCAGCCTTTAATTACCTGAACAGTGGTTACAAAGAGGATGGAGCTGGACTGTTCTCAGTGGTGGCAGATGACAGAAAAAGGAGCAATGGTCTCAAGTTGCAGCAAGAGAAGTGTAGGTTAGATATAAGGAAAAACTTACTCATGAGGAGGGTAGTAAAACACTGGAACAGGTTACCCATAGAGGTTGTGGAATCGCTATCCTTAGAAGTTTTTAAAACCCAGCTAGACAAAGCCTTGGCTGGGATAATATTGTTGGGGATGGTCCTGCTTTGAGCAGGGGATTGGACTGGATGACCTCCTGAGGTCCCCTCCAACCCTACTTTTCTATGATTCTATATCCATCACTGCTGTGTCTGGGCTCCATATGGGCTAGAAAAGCAGCTCGGCAGCAGCCCTCTTGAATTTGTCATCATGGTATTGCCTCCACCACTTTTTTGGATCCAAAGACCATTGAAGGACATGGGCCTGACCTGGCCAAACTATGATGGGGTCAGATAAGCCAGGGCAGCTGGATTCTCTACATGGCTCAGCAAGCACTGGGACAAGCTGACTGGGGAGTGACAACACACCCTTAACCCTCATGAGGCTGATACTATAAGCATCTGCGCCAGATTCTGATTCCAGCTACACCAGGAACTCCACTGGGCTGCCCTGGATTCACAGCAGCACAGCTGACAGCAGGATCTGATCTGTTCGAGGCTTGCACGGCACTGGCTCTCCTACCAGGTCAGCCACCTCCTCCTCCCCAGGAAGGCCCTGAAATACTGCTTTGCAGGCCACACGGAGCCAAATTGTGACTCCTGCCATCCTGCTTGGTATCTCAGCACTGTTGATGAAACACTGGAGGGCAGGGAGTCTGGATGGAGTTCCAGGAGCTTTGCATTGGGTGCATCAGTAAGGAGGAACAAAGTCACGCCATCTTCTGAGGTAGTGATGTCCCTGGCCAAGTGCACAAGATACCAAGACAGTAATGCAGAGACTGTGAAGTTGGAAATTGCCACTCAGGAGGGACCCAGCTGCTGCTCTTGGAGCCAAAGGGGAATGGAAAGAGAACAGAGGAAGAGAGAATAGAAGGACCGATGGTTTTTTTAAACTCTAATGGATCTTATGTGGCCCCTTATGTGTTACTGAGCATCTGACAGTGTTTAACTGCAACCCCGTGTGTGGCAAGGCAGTGCCATTATTCCTGTTTCATGGGCACCCCAGGAGATGAAGTGACTTGCCTAAGGTCATGCGGGGAGTCTGTGATGGAGTTGAAAATGGAGTGTAGCTTGCCCAAGTCCCAAATGAATGTCTTGAGCAGTGGACCACCTTCCTCCCCAGTTCTGCACAGGGAGCAGACTACTCTCAGCTGTGGACTCTGGTACTTATCAAAACTTGAATCCCCTTGCCCTGGCGGAACCCAAGGCATACCCATCCCAGACCACTGTAGCCAGTGTCCTGTGACCAGAAAGACCACCCAAACCAAATTTCCCTCTCCCAGTTGGGTGCAGGGGCTTTCCAGGGCCGGACTGAGGCCTGTGGGTGGCACAGCTGCTTTCTGCTTGTGGGAGGGAAGCTTGAATCCCTGTTGCCCAGGCTGTGCTCCTCCCAGGGGATGATACAGAGATGCAAGGTAGTGACTGGAAGATGAAGTGGAGGGCAACATTCAAGCAGCCCCCTAACCCGTGATTTAACCCTTGCAGTGCTGGTAGATTGCTGCCTACTAGCTAGCTCTTCCAGCCTGCTGCTGCAAAGGGCTTGGAAAGGAAGGAGTGATGGGTCTGATTCATTCTGGTTTTGGCCATAGCTGCTGCAGCTTTGTGGGAATGAATGTTCCCTGCTGGGTTTATGGGCCTGTGGCAGCATCATTAAAGTCACTGGAGGGTGTCAGCTGGTGGCAGCTGCAGCTTCATAGGCATCAGGGGGCCAGCGATGCCTTCTCTCCTGTGTGGGCACCCTCCTGCAGTGCCCACCTTCTCCCTGGGGCTGGTTTGAGATATCCTCACAGCAAGATCTCTGGCCACAAAAGTGCTATTCATCTCAGAAGAGCCCTGGGGAAGGGGCATCCAAGCTGGGAGGTAGTTGGGGGGAGTCATACCCAGATTCCCAGCCTGATAATGCCTTGCTATCACTTCCTGCCCTCCCCCACACACTGCTGTGACTCATACTACCCCAGGCAGAAGGGAGAGGGGCAGGGTCC